CTGAATGCATAAGGTAAGTGAGGAAGAACTTTGGACTACAGCAAATTATTTAAATGAACTAGTTCTCTTTTTTTTTTTAAACAGTAAAAATCTGGTGTAATTGGTCACATTTCTTTATAGAGCAGTTCCACTGTCAAGGCCCTCAAAGCATTTTCCTCAAATCTGAACTGGCATTTTGAGTTCATTTATAGATATACCTTTTGCAGTGCACAAGAAGTGACACCGTTGTGATCCTTGAGTGGACTCCACAGCTGTGAGTTATAGCTAAAGTCAAGAGGGTGGGTAGTGAGCAGTCCAGCCTTGAGCTGAGCTTTGCTGTGATAATGGCTGCTGTTCAGATTGAAGTCTTTGAGCTGAGAGTTTGTGGCACTTGTCCCTGTGCTGCTGAGCTGTTGTGTGCAGACGGGAGGTCACACTCTGCTCTCAGAACACATCAGATGCAGGTGAAATAGTGCCTGTGTGAGCTCTCATTGAGCGCTGATGGATGGGAGCGTCCAGTTTGAAGGTTTATGGAGCGGTGGCCTTCACTGGACAGAGGGACACAGGGGCACAGAGGGGTTACTCTCTCTCTACAGTGATGGACCACGGGTTCATATTTGGTATATTCTCTGCATACCATAGTTTAAAAAGGAGATGTGGCTGAAGTGTTCAAGGACTTAATAAAAGCTTTAATTGTAGCTTGTGTTCTTCCTGTACCTGTGTTGCCAGTGACTTAAAGAGTGTTTGATTTCTATGGAGTATTAACTACAGACACAGAACATATTTAGATCACCATGTTACCTTGTATTGTTTTGAAAATGCTATTTCACAACACAATCAGTGTGAATCCTGCTAATGAAACTACTGCACATCAGTTTGTAGTTTATTGTTTTTATTCTGCTTTTGTATATCTATGGGAAATGGACATGTGGGAGCATGGGTGACATAGGCGTGTGGGTTGAGGGTTTGAATAGGGCCAAGGAGAGGCTGTGAAGTTCAGAACCTCCAGAATTCCCTCCCTGAGCGGCAGGTACTGGGGTTTAGGGGAGTGACATTCAGCTCAGAGAGAGACTTTTAGGTTTAAACCAGCTGATTTCATCACTGAAAGTGGCAACCCAAATGAAAGAGTCACGTGAGGCTGATTCTGTTTCCTGATTGAATCATTTTGCAACCTGTTAATATTATCATTAGTTAGTATAACCGTATCCATGGTTTAGTCTCATTTTGCAGCTGGTTTCATTTAGACCAGGGGTTTTCAAATTGGGTGAATGTCTTCCCCAAAATTCCAACAACAATTTCCCACTTCATGCAGTCTTAATTAAGGCTAGTTAGTGGTGTTTCTGGCACACCCCAGGGGAGGCCTCACCTATTTGAAAACTGTTGATTTAGATGATTTAAAACATATTTAACCCTGATTTAGGTCTGATTTAGGTCTGATGGTATGTAGAAAGCCAATGCATTTAGTCATAAACCTGTTCAGGATGTGCAGATGGGCCTGTGGGTGGGTCAGAAGCAGTGGACAGTAAAATATTTCTAACATAATAAATGCTTAGTGTATGCCTTGGCTACCATCACACATGAGAGTGGAGTTTACATGGAGTCTCATGTATATTTAATAATGTGCGCTACACATGATTCCATATAGTCACATTTAATTCTTCATATATAACCAACATGAATAATTAATAATTTAATATTTTATGATGTCTTATAAGGACTAAACATTACTCACAGTGTGTCCTGTTCACTTAACATTCCACCATCCTTCAGGGCCAACGTTCTGTTGTACAGATCCTACAGAGTCTGTAGAAAACAGATGAAGAGGCAGGAGACAGTCTGTTTATTACACATCACAATGAACCTTCAGCACACAGCACTGTCAGTCAGTGTACTGCCCAAGCCTGGTGCTGCTCCACAAGAAGAGTTGACATAACTTCAGTAGTGTGTCTTCTGAAAGGACAGAGTGAAGGACAGTGAAGACAGTTTAATATGAACATGTGAAGGTTAAGGTCAAAAGGAGCCTGACAGCAGCAGTTACAGAGAGAGTGGTCAGCAAGTTGGCAAACAGGTTAACTATGCCTGTTTATATATACAGTCTATGACTGAGTCATATGCAAATGTAATAATAATTTAATTGAATATATATATATGAAACAATATGAATAATTGAACATTTGTTTTGTGATATCATATAAGGACACATCATTAGTGTTCCTGTTCACTCCACCAGCTGACAGAGTTAACTTTAGTTATAACCAGCCCCACTATACATTCCCCTCCAGCAGCAGTGTATCAGATAGCATTACAAGCATGTCTGGCATTGCAATCCATAATGCCATTGTTGTTTATCACCTCCATTCGGAGGGGTCAGCTGGCCTCCTCCTCCATGCATTAGTGCGTCTCCCTGACCTGTGCTCCGGACGCGTATACAATCCACAGGCTGCTCCTCCCCACACGCGCCGACACGCTACAAATGGCAAATAATGAGTAGTTAACAGGCATTTAATGAAAGCGGGCGCGCTCACAGACACAGTGACATTGTCGGGAGGTCACGGCTGTTTGAGGATTCTGTTGGAGAGCAGCTTGCAGGAGTATAAGATTATTGAGGTTTGTGTTTTGCTCTTTTGTCTCATATAGACACAATCAGCTTACATGCTATGGTAATGCGATCAGCCATCTGTGAAGCGCAGAAATTGTGCTGCACTGTTTGGATTGGCGGAGGGGAGGTTTGCGGTGTTGAATTTTCATCTTATGAATATTGTGAGAGGAAAAGTGGGAAAGTGTTCCTCCTTTAACCAAACAAGTGCTGATTCAATTACTGTGCGTGCACAGTTCTGTTTGGCTCCTGAATATTTCCAGGCCCAATGTTCAAGGATAAAAGTGATTCTGTGGTTACGATGTTCTCTGTGGTTATGATGTTCTCTGTGGTTACGATGTTCTCTGTGGTTACGATGTTCTTTACGATGTGTTCTCTGTGGTTATGATGTTCTCTGTGGTTATGATGTTCTCTGTGGTTATGATGTTCTCTGTGGTTATGATGTTCTCTGTGATTACGATGTTCTCTGTGGTTATGATGTTCTCTGTGGTTATGATGTTCTCTGTGGTTACGATGTTCTCTGTGGTTACGATGTTCTCTGTGGTTATGATGTTCTCTGTGGTTACGATGTTCTCTGTGGTTACGATGTTCTCTGTGGTTACGATGTTCTCTGTGGTTATGATGTTCTCTGTGGTTACGATGTTCTCTGTGGTTATGATGTTCTCTGTGGTTATGATGTTCTCTGTGGTTACGATGTTCTCTGTGGTTATGATGTTCTCTGTGGTTATGATGTTCTCTGTGGTTACGATGTTCTCTGTGGTTATGATGTTCTCTGTGGTTACGATGTTCTCTGTGGTTATGATGTTCTCTGTGGTTACGATGTTCTCTGTGGTTATGATGTTCTCTGTGGTTATGTTCTCTGTGGTTTCTGTGGTTACGATGTTCTCTGTGGTTATGATGTTCTCTGTGGTTATGATGTTCTCTGTGGTTATGATGTTCTCTGTGGTTATGATGTTCTCTGTGGTTACGATGTTCTCTGTGGTTACAGTGTTCTCTGTGGTTATGATGTTCTCTGTGGTTATGATGTTCTCTTGATGTTCTCTGTGGTTACGATGTTCTCTGTGGTTATGATGTTCTCTGTGGTTATGATGTTCTCTGTGGTTACGATGTTCTCTGTGGTTATGGTGTTTTATAGTAACACTCTATTAAAATGTTCTTAGCAGCACTTATTTGGCCTGTTATTCATCTCTGCTCCTTTCAGAGTGTGACAGGGATAGTTGGGATCGATTAACATGATGCCGGGCTTAAACACTTCTTCACAGGAGTGTGTATGAGACAGAGACTTCTGTCAGTCTGCCCCAGGGCAGTTACAGTAGTAACTTACCACCAGTGTTGAATGAATAAACACTGTACAGATGTGTACAGCAGCTGAGTCCCACAGGCTTCCTGTGTCCAGTTTGTACGTCCTCTTTGTCTCCTAACAGGACATTAGTGTTTGAAGGACAGGTCAAACTTTGATCTTACAGAAGACATGAAAGAAAGTGACCTGTGCTGTGACCCAGGACAGTGAGAGTGTCCTCAAACCCAAACCCTGTGCTGCTCCTGCTGACACAGTTGTGTATGGTCGTGTATGGTCGTGTATGGTTGTGTACGGTCGTGTATGGTTGTGTATGGTCGTGTATAGAGTCGTATCTGAGCCAACATGTGTCTGTGATCAGAATAAATGTGTGTGATGGTTGTTCTAGGACCACTGGCTTTCTGACATAAAGTGGATTTAATGAGTCTAATATTATTCAAGCATCTCCGTGAATAAAGGGAAAAGGAAGAGATGAAACATTTGCACATATTTGGTTGAGGTTACGTGGCCGAACAGCATCTGCTCTGAGGGAGTCTTTGGCACACGACTCTGCTCCTGCTAAGAGACTTTTACTGTCACATGGTCATGCTTTGGACCACTAATAAAGTTCTAACTGAGGGGGGTTCCCTATATCAATGTCAGCGTCAATTTTATTTCTATTTGGGCTTCAGCTTTGAAAAGGGAAATGCTCAGAAAATGATTCAGTGCAACTCATGTTACAAGGACTGACTCATCTGCACTTGATCAGGATCATTAGGAACGCTTTTTATTCATGCAAAATGTAAACTGTCCTGTTCCTGTTCACTGTCCTCACTGTCCTGTTCCTGTGTCCTCACTGTCCTGTTCCTGTGTCCTCACTGTCCTGTTCCTGTGTCCTCACTGTCCTGTTCCTGTTCTGTCCTCACTGTCCTGTTCCTGTGTCCTCACTGTCCTGTTCTGTGTCCTCACTGTCCTGTTCCTGTGTCCTCACTGTCCTGTTCCTGTGTCCTCACTGTCCTGTTCCTGTGTCCTCACTGTCCTGTTCCTGTGTCCTCACTGTTCCTGTCCTGTGTCCTGTTCCTGTGTCCTCACTGTCCTGTTCCTGTGTCCTCACTGTCCCCACTGTCCCGTCCCTCCGTCACGTCTCAGATAACCTGCTGATCGATTACCAGTTCACCTTCAGCCTGCTGCAGGAGGACGACCACCACTACACTGCTATCAACTTCATGGCCAGTCCAGAGCAGGTACACACACACACACACATGCACATGCACACACACACACACACCCACGCACACTCAGGCACACACACACGCCTCCAGCTCTCTCACATGTCCCCTACAAATGTTAGTGAAAACATTTCAAACTCAATTTCAGTACTACGGATTAGACTTGATACTGATACTATGATGATGATAAAAACACTTTTTATTTAGACAAAAGAATGTGTTCAAAGTTGTTCTTTCTTTTCTGTTCCATGTGTGTTCTATGTGTGTGATCCTCAGTGGTGCAGTAGGTTCATGTTGGTCCATGTGTGTGTACTAGTCTATGTGCTCTTATATTTGTTCTCATACAGATCAACATCATTCTAAACACATTCTGGAAAGGTTCATTTCTGTCCTGTGAATAGGACTTTTTTAGTATTTATACCTGCTCAAATCTAGTTTTGATACTAGTTTTAGTATTAATTAATATCTATATTCAATACTCTTCACCGTCCACACTGACATGTGTTAAAGGGACACGTAAAATTCTAAACAAACTCTGACTATGTCTTTCCCCATAAAAAACATACCTGAAGTTGTGTTTAACTTTATTTAAACTTATTTCATCTCTCGTGTTTAAGTGGCTCTCTTGCTCTGAGCCACATCGATCGAAACATTATTTTGTACATTTACTTTTTCCCTGTATCTGGGTAAAATGTGCCTTTCTACAGTCCAGATATTCCACCTGTGTGTATTTCAGCTTTGTGTATTTCTGTGTGTCGTCTGCATCTATTATAAGCTGTTTTACTTTTAGATAATCAGGAAGTGCTTGGTTTGCATGCTAGTTGTTTTAGCTTAATTATCATGGCACAACTTTGCAATGATCTCTGAGAGTTGTGAAAATCAAGACATAAGTGAGTAATAACTTTGTACCAACGCAAACTGTTTAAAATGGACTCTTTTTCATGTAGAACCAGTCTGGTACTACACTAAAGTACTACACTGTAGTACTACACTCTAGTACTACACTTTAGTACTACACTCAAGTACACTACACTTAGTACAGTACTACTCACAGTACTACTACACTCAAGTACTACACTAACACTAGTACTCACTAGTACTAACTAACTGTAGTACTACACTACTACTAGTACTACACAGTAGTACTACACTGTAGTACTACACTACACTAGTACTACACTGTAGTACTACTCAGTACTACACTGTAGTACTACACTGTAGTACTACACTCTAGTACTACACTTTAGTACTACACTAGTACTACACTAGTACTACACTGTAGTACTACACTCTAGTACTACACTCTAGTACTACACTTTAGTACTACACTCAAGTACTACACTCAAGTACTACACTCAAGTACTACACTCTAGTACTACACTTTAGTACTACACTCTAGTACTACACTGTAGTACTACACTCTAGTACTACACTGTAGTACTACACTCTAGTACTACACTAGTACTACACTAGTACTACACTGTAGTACTACACTCTGTACTACACTGTAGTACTACACTGTACTAACACTGTAGTACTACACTCTAGTACTACACTGTAGTACTACACTACTACACTGTAGTACTACTACACTGTAGTAGTACTACACTCTAGTACTACACTGTAGTACTACACTCAAGTACTACACTGTAGTACTACACTCAAGTACTACACTGTAGTACTACACTCAGTACTACACTGTAGTACTACAAGTACTACACTGTAGTACTACACTCAAGTACTACACTGTAGTACTACACACTACACTAGTACTACACTGTAGTACTACACTCTAGTACTACACTGTAGTACTACACTCAAGTACTACACTGTAGTACTACACTCTAGTACTACACTGTAGTACTACACTCAAGTACTACACTGTAGTACTACACTCTAGTACTACACTGTAGTACTACACTCTAGTACTACACTGTAGTACTACACTGTAGTACTACACTCAAGTACTACACTGTAGTACTACACTCAAGTACTACACTGTAGTACTACACTCAAGTACTACACTGTAGTACTACACTCAAGTACTACACTGTAGTACTACACTCAAGTACTACACTGTAGTACTACACTCAAGTACTACACTGTAGTACTACACTCAAGTACTACACTCTGTTGCTCTTGGATTCAACTGACTCCATAGAAGTTAAAAGAAAGTACATACAACCTGTTTCTGTGAATGACAGAGCTTAGCCTTTATGGAGCCTCAGTTAGTTTGTTTGCATTATTAGAGACATTCCCTCTCTGTGCTGGATGGAGGGCACTCACCGCCAGCTCACTGCTTTTTATCTTTGACAGTTGAGACATCTCACACTCAGACTCAGATCTCTGTTCTCTTCATCTCGCTGACTGTTGTAAGTTCTTCTACAACAAGCAGCGTGTTGGTAAAATTAGATTAGACGCTCTACCTGGTATTTACTGTCTTTAAAATGTGACAAACAAGAACTAGTTCATTTTAAACAGGTTGCACCGCAGTAAGTTTACAAACATTTTTCACAACTTTCAGATGACAGTGGAGTTTGGCTGTGATGGTGAAGCTAACAACAACTAGCATGCTATTGCTCACTGCCTGATTAAAGGAATTAATCAGAAATTTCTAATTAGATGCAAACAGAACACAGAGGACTTATTTTGACCTCAAGACCTGCTTATATTTGTACTTTAGCAAGACACATTCTGCTCAAATACATGTGAAGAATCAGGCACAGGGACTTTAAAAAGATTAAGAGAGTAACATCATTCCCACGGTGGCTATCAGAGGTGCAAAAGAACTTAAAACTACATAAAAAGTCCAAATTAATTAGTCCTATGTACAGATCAGCATTTGCAGATTATTGTTGAATCTATTAGACGCGCCCAACGCTGGTGTTATGAAATAGTATAAATGTTTATTGAATAATAAATATAATTTAGTTGGAATAGAATAGATTGTTTCCAGTGGAGATACAGAGTTGACGTTGGTATTGATTTTCTTCTGAATGCCTGGAGCTGTGTTAGAACATCAGCCAGGAGCAGACACACTGTTGGACAGTCGATAGAATCATTCTCCTGACTGTCCAACACTTTCACATGAGCCTTGGGAAGAGATTGTGCAATAATCTTTGCTCTATAAAAAGCTCAAAATATCCCAGAATGATGTTTGGAAGAAAGTGTACAAATACAGTCTAATAGAATTATTCAAATAGTTATTTGTGGGTAAAAGATCATTTGAGAGTCCGATGAGGTTCATTTGGTCTTCGGATAATTTATGTTATTAGTTTCTTTTTTCCGACCAAGGGTTTATTTTTCATACCTGACAGTTTCGACTTGTCACTAGCGCTCTTCCTCAGAGTGGTCATGTGATGTTGCTGTGACGTGTCCGGTCAACAACAGCAACATCACGTGACCACTCTGAGGAAGATAGTGACAAGTCGAAACTGTCAGGTATGAAAAATAAACCCTTGGTCGGAAAAAAGACACTAATAACATAGATAATTTGAGAATTATTCCACCCAGTAATAATAAGAAAAGCGGAAAATGAACAGAACATGACACCGTTTGATGATTCCTTTGGTGTTTTGTCTTGACAGATCAGTAAGAACCTGGACATGTCCATCAACGCCTCCAACAACTTCAACCTGAACATCAGCTGGTCCCTCAGCTCCACAGGTACGAGACTGTTCTACTCTCGGCTGCCACTGAACAGGTCTGGCAAAGCTTTTCAGAATCACAATCAGAATGACTTTTACTCATCCCCAAGAGGAAATTCTTTATCATTACAGACATGCTGATGATACTATGATGATAATAAAAACACTTTTTATTTAGACAATAGAATATGTTCAAAGTAGTATTTTCTTTTCTGTTCCATGTGTGTAATAAGTGTGTGATCCTCAGAGGTGCAGTAGGTTCATGTTGGTCCGTGTGTGTACTGGTCTATGTGCTCTGACACTTGTTCTCATACAGATCAACATCATTCTAAACACATTCTGGAAAGGTTCATTTCTGTCCTGTGAATAGGACTTTTTTAGTATTTCTACTTGCTCAAATCTCGTTTTGATACTAGTTTTAGTATTATGACAGAATGACTTTTACTCAACCCCAAGAGGAAATTCTTTATCATTACAGACATGCGAGTTTAAGGTCTAAATGAAGTATGAGTAACACAATAGAGAAGCCTCATAAATATGACGTATATCTTCATGTACAGTGTCACAGTGAGGTATGAAGAGCATTGTACAGTGAAACTTTGACAGCTTTTATAGTTGATATCACATCATACCAGGATACCAGCATACATCCTCCTGCTCCTCCTTGTCTTCTCACCTTTTTTTTTTTTAACACCTTTTTTTCTCCTGGACTTCCCTGTTTCTCAGAAGGGTCACAGCAGTGTTCAGACTGCAGGCAGCTCCAGGTCTAAGAGAGGAGCAGGAGGAGACATGTTTTATTCATTCATCTTGGCCATTAGCACAAATCTGCTGATCAATCACAAACACAGATCTGACAATGCACAGGAAGGACTGCCAGGTGGAACAGTGTCTCTTTTGTATTTCATATTTAAAAGGAGGTGTTGCAACGGGAAATGAGATTCATTCATTCAGCATATAGCCTATATGATATACTTAAACAGTGCACTGCATAAATGAGTTGGTCTCATTGTGAGTAGTACAGAGGCTGCACTAGCACGGACTCAGGACTGGCTCAGGTTCTGGGGTTTAGGTTGTGACTTTTCAGATCAGAGACACATTTTAGGTTTAAACCAGGGGTGCGCAATACATCGATCGCGATCTACCAGTCGATCACCGAGGTCGTGTGGGTAGATCGCTGTGTCTTAGTTCTCGTCTCGGACTCGCGTTTGGACTCGGTCTTGTCTCTAACTCGAGGTCTGACACTCAACAAGTGCGCTCATATTTCATTCCGGCCGCTGCTGTTGGTAATAAACTTGTAGCGGGTGCAGGAGCGTGTGGGGCGTCTCAGTGCAGCCTGTGCGCTCATTTGAAACCCGCGGAGACTCTACGGCACATCACAAACACACACGCTCCCTATGCACGGCTCGTCTGCAACAGCGTGTGCCCTCGTGTACCAGCGTGCATCACAGGGCAGGTTCAACTTCCTAAACATCCTACCTGTCCATCTGCCTCACGTCAGCACGCCGCCCCTCGCCTTTTCACGCTCTCGCTCCTTCCTGCGTACAGCCAACACAAGCCCCTCCCACAGTGCGGCTGATTAGAAGAACAAGACCAAACGTGAAGCAAAAACCAGTCTAAATTTGTGTTCCAGTGTTGACACAAAGCAGGTCTACAGCATAGAGCGGATCTACAGAACAGACCTACTGCCACATTTGGCTGAAGTTTGTCTAACAAAAGTGCACAAATGCATCTGTGTTTGTCACGATGTGCGTTTGGTTTGGTAAATGTGCAGAGGCTGGTAAATATCACTGCAAAACCAGAAAAGAATGAAACTCCAGTTTGGAACTTTAAAAAACAGGTTTAAAAATCTTTCTTCACTTTTTTCACAGTTTTGTGTAAAGTGCCAGAGGAAGTTCTCTTAAAGAAGGGGTTCTCAAACTGTGGGGGAGGGTCCAAAAAAGGGGCACAGAGTGTTTCAGTGCAGTTTGCTTGGCTTTGTATTAGGTCGATCATTTTGACTTGGTCATTTTGTAAGTAGCTCACATGCTGAAAACGTGTGAACACCCCTGGTTTAAACCAACTGGATTTCAGTACTGAAACTGGCAAACCAAATGAGAGACTTGTGTGAGGCTCATTCTGCTTTCTGATCCGACTGTCTTGAACCAAAACACCAAATTATAACAAACAACTTGGCCATCATGCTCAGTGTTTTTATAATAAAAAGACAAATCAGCATGATAACTGCTATTAAAAAGCTATTTTATATAATGTATGCATCTGGGGACACAGTTAGGTCATGGTTATAGAATTTAAAGTCAAAATCTTACATACAGTTCCTTTTAACACCACACTATTATCAGTGGCACTTAAAGCTTATACATGTCAAAGGTGAAAAATGAAATGTATTCCTAAATACAGTGCTTTAGTCATGTTTCAGCACTGATGTAACAGCACTGGAAGTTTGTACAGTATTTCTACTTTAATACCACACACATGTGTTGTTGTATGTGCCATAGCGGGGACCATCTCAGGAGAGGAGCTGACCGTCATCTCCAGAACCAACATCAGGGAGCACCGAGACTCCTTCTCCTGCGACAAGTTCAACTTCAGAGTCCACCACAACATCACCTTCTACGTCTACCTGTCCAACTTCAGCTGGCCAATCAAGATACAGGTAAGAGCAACGGGTGGGTGACTCTCGACACATGTCTCATATCAAGCAGTGGTAACAAGCTTCATGTGTGTTTGCAAATGAAGAGATTTTAGCATGATCATTTTTACGACTTTGTACTACCTTATTATTAACCTCTATGGTCTCAGGAAAAGACACATAGAAAATCTTAAAAACCTGTCATATGCATGTTCATATACTTTAGTAAATACTTCAGTAAATAATTCATATACTTTAATAAAAAACTTTTTAGTAAATAATGAGACACAGTGACTCTAACTTCTGCAAGAGACTGACTTGATTGATTGATATATAGAGACATAGATACTAGATACTTTATTCATCCCAGAGGAAATTCAAGTTTGCATTGTGCACCAACATTTGCACTGTCCACTGAGTCTCAGTGCAGATGAACAGGAGGACTGGTCAGGCAGGGTCAGCAGATCTGTGTCAAGAGCCCTCAGGACAAAAGTGTTCCTCCTCTTTGTCCTGCAGCATCACAGCCGCCTCCAGGAGGAACCAGCTGAACTCCAGAGACACAACAGAAAAGTTCTTATGCTACATTCAGATATTCAAATGAATTCAGATCTTTAAAATAAATCCCCTTCTTGTCGTGCCAGGGCTCAGAATGTTTCGACATTTTTTCTCAGTCCTCAGATAGAGTCCACACGTGTTTGCCATGCAGCCTTCTGAACACCATCGTCCTCCAGTATCTGCACCCAGTGCTCTGTCAGTGTGGACGCTAAGCTCACATGTTCAAGATGGACCTTCATCTTTGTGAGCACAACACACAGGAGTGAACATCTCCTCTGCTGGCTCTTCCAAATTCTGGTGGTCCCTCAACCTTCAAAATACTGCATAATTCACCCATTAGCATACTTTCACCACACTTCTTATGGTTCTGAAAGTTATATGGGCATCAAAAGATATACAGAATAAGAAATACATTTGTATGGGGGCCCCAAAACTTAGTTTTTCTAAATCTGACAGAATTTCACACAAAATTCCATTTGGTCATCCCAGTCAAAAAAGTCAGTGAAAACCATGTTCAATTTTATTTATTTTTTTTACCATATGGTGATGCACAAAAGCACCAGTGTTATTCTAATGGGAATCATCCAAAAATGTCCCATTCATGAGAAAAATATTAGTTTCATGTAATAATGGGAAATTTGTTACAATCACTCTTCATGTCATCCTAATCAAAAAAGTCAATGGAGACCATATGATATTTCTCACTGTGTCGCCATGGTGATGCGTGAAATGGCCCATGTTGCCCTTAAAGGTTGTATAGAGGATTTTCCAAGGAACGAGAAATCCAGCGACTGTTTGTCCTTTTTCAAATGTTGCGCATGCGTGAAACCACCCCCCCTCCCCTACAGCTCCTACGTAGAAACGCCTTCTCCCGCCTCCTCCTTACGCCAGAAACAGGTTTGTTTACAGCCGGTGCTGCACATGACTTGTAAACAACTAACTACAGTGTTGGTTAGGCAAGACGGAGAAGTGAGGAGCGGGGGGAGGGGGGGTGCGGACATTTCTCGCGTGGACGAGAAGTGAGGAGCAGGGAGAAGAGCGGAGCGGGGAGCGAGGAGAGAGGAGAGAGGAGAGGGGAGAGAGGAGAGAGGAGAGCGGAGAGGAGAGAGGAGAGAGGAGAGAGGAGAGGGGAGAGGGAGAGAGGGAGAGAGGAGAGAGGAGAGGAGAGAGGAGAGGGGAGCAGTGTGCGGAGATTCCGTGCCCAGAGAAGTGAGGAGCAGGGAGAAGAGCGGATCGGGCAGCGGGGACAGGAGCAGGAAAGGGGAGCAGAGAAGAGTGGCGGGGATTCCGTGCGAATGAACTAGCTACAACACGCAGCAGCAAGTGGGCTCTTTCTTTGCCTTGAAAATTACGTTTTCAGACATAGGATATCACATTCGTGTCCTGAAAAACGTTTGACTAGCTCTTGGAAATAAAGTACGTTTTCATAATAAGCAGAAGTTTCCTGTCCAGGAGTAATTTGGCGACCAATGTGTCAGTCTTTAGACCCTTCGTCTGCTTCAGTCGCGCCATCGCTGGATAACCCTAACCCTAAGAACCTGAGATTTGGCACATTGACTTTTCAAGTTGTCCCCATCAAAAAAGTCTGGGGTCCACTGTGGTATTCTGCATGATGTTTACCATGGCAGCATCAGAAACCACAGATGTTTTTCTATGCCAGGATGTCAGCGCTTTCAATGTGTGTTCACTTCTGTCTGTTTAATAATAATGGTCAAATTTTTCTATAGCACTTTTCCACCTTCAAGGCACTCAACAACTTTACAACAAGGAACCACTCACCCATTCACACACACATTCACACACCAGTGTACACAGACACCGTGGGCAAGGTGGGTTAAGTGTCTTGCCCAAGGACACAACGACAGCATTCATCTGTGGGAGCTGGAATCACACCAGCCAACCTGTGGGTCAGTGGATCTGACCACTCAACCTGTGATGTTTGGTTTTTTTTTACGTCAAGAGTTGGATTCAAACCACCAACCTTCAGATCAGTGGGCAAATGCTCTACCAAATGAGCTACTGCCGCCCTGTTATACATCAACTGCATAATAATTCATCAGTTTTATTTAGTGTTGTTCTGGACACTCAAAGACACTTTATAGAGCATTATTCATTCACTCCACTTCACTGGTGGTAAACTACTACTGTAGCCACAGCTGCTCTGGAGCAGTCTGACTGAAGTGAGGCTGCCAATCTGTGCCATCAGCCCCGACTTGCACCCCCCTGTTTAGTGACAAGTACAGCCCAAAGTCACAATAACAGACAGACAAGTCCTGAGGGAGTGTCAAATCATCGGCCGAGTGTGAAGCCCTGCCCACGTGGGCTGTTCAATGCCGCTTGCAGCTTTAATTTTCCATAATTTTTTCCCATAGATTAAAAAAAAATAAAAATAAATCAAACATTAAGAGTTTAAAGGCACAAGAGAGTTTGAAAAAATGTACACAATCTTAAGTATAAGTATTGTAATTCTTAAATATAAGTGGTTTAACCTGTGTCATTGGCGCTTTAAGCGCTCACCTTGTCCATTCCTGAATTTAAATATGACTCTAAAGCATTATCTGGACATTAAATGTACTTCATGCAGTTAAACAATAGGATAAAGTACAAATTGAGTTGAGTAAAGTCATACTCATGTATCAGTGTGTAGTTCTCTGAAGTCTCACACAATGGCTATTGTCTGGACTGGTGAACTGACCTGTCAGCACTTCTGCTCTTCCACATGTGCATAATTTCACTTACTTTACATTACTGTACATAATCCTCTCATCTGAATGCTGAATTTGATACTGGCGCTCACATGTGGTCTGTGGTACGCACTGTAGCAACCATAGCAAATCATAAATACACAAAAGCGAGGCCCACATAAAGCACAAGAGTCTGATTTCTTCCATACTGACATGGAGCCATTTAAACCTTGAATCCACTCCACAGCAGTGCATTAGAGTTTAAGGTCCAATAAGTAAGAACATTTGTCTGGATTTGACTCATTCTCCAAAGCCTCTGGTGCTGCTTCAAGAGCAGTGTGCCGACTTCTCCAAGACTGACTGTGTAATCCCTCAGAGCTCCATAGTGTCCATGTGTGTCTACTCGTCTGTGTGCTCTTAAGGACAATTTACGGTCCAGCGTCAAATCGTCTGCGTCACGACACAGAGAGTCTGTGTCGACACGTACCCCCTATGCAGGGCCTCTGCATCGACCGACGTGCACCTCCGAAATGTTCTAACTTCGCATGAAAACAACGCAGACGATAAGAGCTGTGATTGGTCGTCTGTACCACCGCTCTGTAGACATTTCCTGTCGGCTTTTCTTTCTTTCAGTATATATTGAGAAATAATGTGTTTAATGCAGCTTTGTATATGTGTTTACGTTTTACAGAAACGAAACTTAAAACCGCACGACTAACTTACATAAACTAAGCGCTCATAAAACAGCTCGCTCCTGGTACGAGGTCAGCTTCTGTTGGACTTAAAAAGGACACGACTCAGTGGAATATGAGTGTCTTTCTGTGACAGAGTCACATTGTACTAATGCTGAGTCTGTTCTGTGCTTTTGTTGCGTTAGAGATGGTTCATGTTAAACTTTTCAGAGATTATACGTCTGCGGGTCATACACACAGACACACGTATATATAAATGGACAGATATCATCGCCCCCTAGCGTTTTGGCAATGAATTACTTCACAGTGCACAGACCTCGACGCAGATCCATAAATCAAATATAAACGGCGACAAGGCAACGGCGGCAGTGCACGTTGAGTCGACGCAGAACTATACTTCAGCCTGTATACTTTTCAGCTCGAGATCTAAACACATTCAGGAGAGGTTCACATCAAAACTGGGTTTGGAACAAATCCTGGACTAGATCCAGAATTAAACCACGTCTCCATTTGGACTAAACATGACTCAAATCAGGACCCAACGAGGACAATGCACCCGTAGATATTTGTTACATCATCAAACAAATCAGCTGCCGGTCTCTAACTTCCAAAATGAAATGAAATCAAATCAAGATTGCTACGCTTGTTGTCAAAAGTATCAAAATCAGTTACTAATCGATACTATAAGAAGTACTGAAACAATCCACGAGGGAATAGAAAAGAAAGTACTATTTCATTTTGAAAATCACATTCTGTTGTCTAAAGAAAGAGGTTTTTTTTTTTTTTTTACCACGTGTTATCAGAGTCTGCATTGTACTGAGTCTATTTAGTATCAAAAATGAGTTTGAAATTTTAATGTTGTGACAGGACTGGTTCAAAACCTTTTGTGTTCCGTCATTATTTGATTTCTTCTCGTTCAGGGAATCAGCCAGTGTACCTTTTAGTCCACTTATCAAATAATATTGAGTTAATCTACAACCCAGATAATGCGAGCTATTGAACTAGAACTAATAGCCCCATAATCTGCCCCATTATAACTGCTCTATCTGTGCCCGCGTCTGCTGTTGGGTAAATACACGGGCATATAAATGTG